TATATATATATATATATATATATATATATATATATATATATATATATATATACATACATACATACATACATACATACATACATACATATATACATACATACATACATACATACATATATATATATATATATATATATATATATATATATATATATATATATATATATATATATATATATATATATATATATTAACAGTTGCCAAGGATACTAATCAATAATTGTCAACGTGTGGACTGAATGAATACATTACAATCAGAGACGCTGCAGAGAAATAATCAATCTTCTGTACTAATAGGCTTTTATGTAATGGTTTATAAGGCTATTTACTAACATTAATGCAAGAGGAATTGTTTGTCATTTCGGCAAATACACAACTGCCACAAGGATTTAGGTCTTAAAATTGTAATCAGATTTAGTGCTCTATACATTTATCAGCCAAAATAAATACACAAAGGAAATGTTACAGAAGATGCTATGTTAGATAACTACTAAATATTTTAAAATTAGCTGGACTTTCGCCATTTTTAGATCTGTATATTTTTATCGAAGTTGAAAATTTATCTTTAGCGCAACAAACAACTTTATTAAATACTCCGCAAGGAATAAGCTGTTGTATTTTCTAGTACTGGATTTATTCGGGTTTTTTTTTTCCTGCAACCACAGGAACGAGTAAACAATCAAAATCAACGTAAATAAGAAAATTAATATTTAATCTATGATTTTTTAAAAAAATTTTAATATTTAATCTTTTTTGCCAGGCATCGTTATTCTTACAACGCTGACACAGTATTTGAGATGCTCTTGCAGTATTCAATCGCCAGAAAAATCCTGCAGACATTTATAACAAAAGTATTTTTTTTTACTCTAATGTATGCCAACTAGTCCGTTAAAGTTTTTTATCCATCAATAAAGTCCCTGATATAATAATAAATTTATTGTATTTTGTGTAGTATTTTCTGAGATATAACTTGGGTAAACGTTTTCTTGTTCATCTAGTCCGAAAACATTTACTAAGATACTGTTTGGTTTTTCAAACTTTGGTATATGATTTTCTGCAACTGGAAAAGTTATTCCTAAAAAACTTAGTTCGTCTTTGTATTGCCATACCTTTCATATCTGCCGGGGTGATCACACTGGGGATGTTTTGCAGATAAAAATGACCATTGAAAACACTTGTTATCATTGTTTTTGACATTTATGCATCATTTTTTGTTTCAAATTTTGTGATGGAGATTGACCTACAACTACCACGAAGCACACTGTATTTTGCTGAGTGAAATGAAACTTCTTTTATCATTTCAAATTTCCAGCAAGATCCTGATGCAGTAAATTCTTCTATTGTTTTGTTCATTTCTTGACGTATTTCATCAACGACCATGGCAATGTTTGTTCCAGTTAATATTTTTCTTGATTTTGCTTTTAGATATGATATAGAAATTTCCCCGTCAAAGCATCTTTTTTAAAAAATATATAAAGTACATCCTCAACTCCATGTAAGTTTGATACTTTTTTGAGCCGCAAGTTCTTATGACATGATAGGATGTAAAATATAAAATAAATTTGTGGAGTTAAAATTTGCTAAAAAGGTTTTGATTATCAAGTTTGTAACTAATATCGTAACCTGAAAATGCTGTAGCAATTTTTTTTCCTTCAGATTTGATAAATCTCTTTTTAGCAATATCTCGCAATTTTAACATACATACATACATACATACATACATACATACATACATACATACATACATACATACATACATACATACATACATACATACATACATACATACATACATACATACATACATACATACATACATACATACATACATACATACATACTTGCATGCATGCATACATACATGCATGCATACATACATACATACATACATACATACATACATACATACATACATACATACATACATACATACATACATACATACATACATACATACATACATACACACACACGTACGTACGTACGTACGTACGTACGTACATACATACATACATACATACATACATACATACATACATACATACATACATACATACATACATACATACATACATACATACATACATACATACATACATACATACATACATACATATATATATATATATATATATATATATATATATAGATATATATATATATATATATATATATATATATATATATATATATATATATATATATATATGAATGCATCCCAAAAAAGGAAATTTCAATAATCTCATACAAATCCGTATCTGTAAGTATGCTAATACATCATTTCTAATTGGTTATAGCAGATATAAGAAGGGATTTCCCTATATAAATGCATAAAAGTTAAGCGTTTCTGGAAATGAAAGAAACTTATAAAATTCAGTTTGCCATTATCCCCTATTGTCACCTATGATGTTCCTTCCTGCTGAAGAGGAGACCTGTCACAATCGGACTTAAAATTATTCCTTTCTCTTATTTATGCATTAAATAAATTTACATTGTTAGCGTAATACAGACCTAAAAATGTATTCTGAGGTCAACAGTGCTAAGAGGCATTATACGATGTTCACTGTAGAACACAAACTCAAGTAAGCAATAGTTCTCACCAGGTTAGAAGTTACTGCACTTTATGATATTATATTAAATTTAAAACTTTAGCATTCATACAATTTCTATGGACAGGATCTAAAACCAGGACATTTACAGCGGCCAGATTAAGGCAGAAAATATCCATATTTATTGTATATTGAACAATATCAGGAAAAATGTTGCAACTGGGAATTATACTATTGGGCACTAAAGTTCTTTTTCTTTTATTAGATTGTATTGAATAGGCGTAGTGTTTTCAGGATTCTATTTCGTTTTGTAGCATCTTCCAACCCTGAAGAGATAAGGCCGGGTTGATACTGGCAACGGACGATTCTGCTTGCCAGGGAATAAGGGCGAACAGCCCTGGACGTCATAAGAACGTCGGGACATGTGAGCCCCAGTCACAGGTACCTAGCCCCAGTCACAGGTACCCTATACTTCATCACACAATGGATTAGACATGAAAACCGACCTACACAATGAAGGAGCCATTGGATGGCGTACATGTGCAGTGAATACGCCATTCAAGGATGTATATTCAGCAAATAATTGTTCAGTGTGTAAGAATAAGTAAGCATAATGGTGTTCTTAAAAACTAGTTTTTTATTTTCATGTTATTCTTGGTAATTCTCTAATGAAATATCTTATCTTTTTGAGGAAGAGGAGTCTCTGAGGTGATTAAAAATGTCAGAATATATTTATTTTAGAAGTGGTGTTGGTTCTGGCCAAGAATCGCCTTTTGGTTTTGAAATCTCAACAACTTATACTACTATTTTTTCGACTGCATCGAACCCAGGGCTACATGTAGTCACAGCAAAGAAAAGCTGTATGATCAATGTGCCATGGAGATTTTGATATCCATGAGGAGAAGGAAGAGAAATAACTAATGAACAAAATGAGATATAAGTAAGAATGAAAACCCAAAGAAATTTCTCCAAGGCAGGCCATTTTGAAGCAGTCCAGCAGAATCATCCAGAATTGCCACATACCTCTTGTCACCCATTACCGGTAATTCAACAGGAAATTGTTACTAACCGTATCACCCATTACCGGTAATTCAACAGGAAATTGTTACTAACCTTGTCACCCATTACCGGTAATTCAACAGGAAATTGTTACTAACCTTGTCACCCATTACCGGTAATTCAACAGGAAATTGTTACTAACCTTGTCACCCATTACCGGTAATTCAACAGGAAATTGTTACTAACCTTGTCACCCATTACCGGTAATTCAACAGGAAATTGTTACTAACCTTTGTCACCCATTACCGGTAATTCAACAGGAAATTGTTACTAACCTTGTCACCCATTACCGGTAATTCAACAGGAAATTGTTACTAACCTTGTCACCCATTACCGGTAATGCAACAGGAAATTGTTACTAACCTTGTCACCTATTACCGGTAATTCAACAGGAAATTGTTACTAACCTTGTCACCCATTACCGGTAATTCAACAGGAAATTGACAGTAACTATTGCATAGAGTGAGAGCCAGTTTGCTTTAAGGACTTCATTATGTGCGAAGTAGAAAGTATCTATAAATATTTTAGATAAATTATGGTCACATTAAATAAGGCATAATAATCTCAAGTCATAATAATAACCACTCGGCCACCTATAACCTCAAATCCGAGTGTAATCAAGACTTACATATAATCACTCTACTAAGCTTTCGGTAGTCCCTAAATGTAGACATTATCATGCAGAAAATTAAATTCAAACTAAGGCAAAATTAACAATCAAATGTTGGCCACGAGACAAGGCATAAAAAACTTAAACATTAAAAGAGAACAATAATTCATATGATATCGAAGTAAGAAAAGGTACAATAATGAGTTCATAAACGCCATACTAATTTTGTTTATAAAATAAAAAACATCATTGTTCTTAAAATTGTTTTAGAGACTATGTATTATTCTTCAGACTATAAGTCATATTTTACCCGGAGAAAGTCACAGGCTTTCACATAACAAAACATGGGAAAATCAGATCCCTCATCCAATATTTTTACTCATTGTATATTGATAATTTTACATACTAGTTATAACAGGTTTTACGACAGTATCCGGGAGGTGAACACACTTGGTTTACTCAGGTCTTATCCATTATCTTACCTTTTAAGAGTTCAATTTTGTAAAGCTTCAGAAATATCGTTATGAAATAAAGCATCAACTATATTGTCAATAAATGTCTTCGGATCAACCGCTTATTCGTTCGTCATTTTCAGTCGCGAATAACCATACTGATCCATATTTTGATGGTATATGATAACCAACATTTTTGATAAGATTGCTTATTATTTTAGTTGTTATGCCAGTATTATCCTGACACCAAGCCGATCAATCCTAACAATAACCTCTAATGCAGAGTGCCAAGCAAGGCAGCTGCAGGTAATATGTTTATAACTCTTTGGTACTATTAGGCAGGGGTTCGATCCCACGACCTCCCGCATCCGAGGCGAACGCTCTAACCACTTACGCCACTGGAGTGGTCGCCTGTAAAATGTGAAATGTCAATATGTAGATTGCAGCGACCTCCTTCTGTTGTAAGAATATGGTACCATTGGATGTATACAGCCATCTAACTTGACAATTCTAGTATAAACTGTGCTCAAGACTCAACCCAAGTCAATCAAGCATTAAATATGGGTCACAGTGACTTTAATTTGTGATGAGGGTGTGGAAATTGTATCCCCTCAGTAAGTTTCGTGATTCCAGGTTTATCAAAATTCACATAAAGGGGAAAAATAATCTTTATAAATAATACACATAAATGTACAAACTTATCGGCTTGATACATTTTTTTCCCCATCAAATTATGAAAGAGATGTGTCAAATCGGGTTCGGCTGGCATCAATACCAACGGTGAAGTGGATAAAGTTGCTACTGCTGATGCTGTAGACATGGTTACTGCAGTTCGCGCTATGAGAAAGTAAGGTTATCTGTGGGCAGCACTGTCTCTCTTGCGTGCATAAGCTGTTGAAACTTTTCTTTTACTGAGGCTGTGGCCTGATCTTGGCACAACTACACTTTTTCCTTCTTGGAACGCTTTTGTTGGGAAGAGGCTTTATTCTTGGTGGTGACAGCAAGGTAGTTAAAATCCAATTTTATAGGAGGGAACGAATGATAACACCTCGTAGAGAAGAGTTATATCCAGGTTTCAAAATGATTTGCGTTTTGGTTTGAGTATTGATTCTAGGATCTGACAGTTGCGACAACGTCACTTTATGTTTGTCAGAAAAGCGTTTGGTTTGATGAGGGATGTGAATGATGCCCTGAAGTAATTGACGTGCTGCCCCCGTAAACCAGCTCAAGACTTCTTTGAGACTGGATTTTAAGACAAGAGCACGTATTTGTGGATTTGTTTTTCGAATTGATGACGTACAATGCACGAATTAATTTGACTGAAAGATGAGCCTGAAGGAGAAGTCATGTTGACGATGTGTGTACACAACAGGCCCTCCGTCAAGGCACCAGTTATGAAACAGATGGGTGCGAAATCGCAAATAATCTGGCGTGGCGTGATTTTATCGACGAGTAAATATACGTAAGGTGTTTGAGTGGCATTGTCGCACGCATGAGTCTTCCAAGCAGTTGTTTGGCTAACATTTGCACTTGTGATTTATCTCTTTACCTTTTAAACACTATATAAGGAGCATTGATACTGATGGTGCGATGGACTTTATTTTGTTGAAACAAATTTTGGGTCATGTAAATGACACTGAGACTACGATGGTACCATTTGCATGTAACCCAAAGTTTAATTTCTCCTTCGTCCTCACCTAACAAGTCAAAGTTGACCAGATGTGCTTGATCGGTGTCAGACACGATCCTGTCGTCTTCGCGAGGAATGCAGTCCACAAAAACCATGGAAACTCCTTGACTTTCTCAGTATTTGTAACACCACACGATACGTTGAGATGGATGATCGATTAAATGACTTTGGTGTTTGATTAAACGTTTGACAAATCGGTTTCACCTAAACCACTGGGTCTAGCAATTACCATGTTGATGGGATGGCGAAGACACAATGCCTCCCAAATAGCACGATCTAACCATCTTTGATGACTTTGAAAGTTGAGAAAGAGTTAGAAGAGGAAGATGTAACAATACCGAATGTGTTTAGAATTTTGAAACTAAAACAGACACGACAAGAGATTTTATACTTTTTAGGACACGTTTATTCCAAGCTAAAACTGAATACGAATAAGAGCCAATGGCTAAGTACATCTTTAACGTGAAAATCAAAACGATCTAAGGCTATACAAACAAGTCACAGTACAATATTTCTCAAGAAAGGTGTGGTGTCCTTGTAATGTTGTTGGAGTCTCTACACAAGTCACAATCTCACTTATATCCTCCTGGAATGGCCTTTCGGGGGTGTCAATGTCGACGACGGTACTGCTACTTTCCTGAATGGGGTGGTTTTCCTCGGTGTCAGGTTCTTTTTCTGGCGCTGTGGCAAACACAGGTTCAGAGGTCACATGTTTCACTGGACATTTGAACTCATTAACACATATCTTATGCATATTGCGCTATTTTTTCGTCCAACCATCAAATCCAAGTCTTTTCCAGTCATGTATATCTTGACAGTGAGGGTGTAGGTCACAAGCTATTTACACATCCTCATAAGAATCACCAGTGGCTAAAAGTTCACAAATCTTTCCTTCCCGTAGAGGTAGAGAAGTATCGAGATGAAAACGCAACGTTTTTAACGAAATGTATCTCTCGTGACCATTTAAATGAACCGCCATCCCGTTTTTGATGTATGTACTTTTCGTAAATGGTCCACAAGGAATCTGTTGGTAAACGAAATCCCAGAAAGAAAAGTCACTGACATGCACACCACACGACGTTCAAAATTCAAAGGTAACAAAACTTGTAAAGAGTAATTTCTGCCCACTGCCATTCAAGGTAATGGTCAAAAATGGTAATAAAATGATACAGAGAAATCTAACGAGTCTGTTCACTTTTTTTACTTTCTGAATTTCTCCACACAAACGTTTTACAGTCACAAATTAAGATTGTAATCTGGAAAAACCCAGCTAAATTTATTTGTAGACCTCTTGCAATTCGCTTGGCAATCCTTGAACATACTTTTCAAATGGAATTTAAATACCTATTTCGAGGTTGTCCAAAGTTCGACTCCTTACCAGTCTGGCATGTTATGCAAAATTGTTACAGGGCTTTGGCCATTACCCTCATTTATATTTGCGGCTTAAGTAGTGTATTCCCAAAATCAGTTTTCGTTTACCTTGGAATAAAGCATAGTTTAAAAATATCAAAATGAATCTGAGTTTGTGTTTGACTTTATTTCAACAAACTATGTAAATGAATTCTCTCAACTCCAGAATAAAACCACAAATGTTCTCTTGTAAAGTATCCATGAAGAGATTATTTCATTCCCACTAAATAAAGGGAATGACAGTACGGAAACCATCGAGCATGTTCCGGGTAATCCGAGTCTTTCTGCTCCCACTCGTGAAGTGACACACCGCAACTAAAGCACTTGACTTTATCAACTTCTCCCAAGTAGAAAAATCCAGCACTAGCTAATTCATCGGGGGTAGGTCCTCCCAGATATTTGAGCCACTTTCCTTTAAACGTTTGAAATTGCCTTTCAAAGTCTCAGTATCCAGATAAACGCATAGGGAACGAGTATTCTTCTCTGCCAGGTTCATTTCGATAAAGTGGTGGTGATACATAAGTAGTTTATTCAAGCATAGATCAACTCCGTAGGGTGGTACCTGCACAGGTTCAGGTTGACTAAGAAAACCCGTAAAGAGGTAATTAGACAGTAGGATTAGACAAACACAGCATCACTTTCCATGGTTGGTAGGTGTAGTTGTCATAGCAAAATTCCTGTGATTTCATGCTGAATCGCTTATTTCCTAGCGTGCTTCGTCGCTAAAATCACAAGACAAAGCATTGCACTTGATTTGGTCATCACTGAACCGGAACCTCATGTTGACTTGTGTCCATCTGAAAGGATTAATCTTTCTATCTTGGCGTTTGTAGTCACAATGAACTATCAGTCTTGGAAGTCTTTCCATTTATATGCTATTCAATATCGATGTGTCCATCCTATAAAGTGAAGTGGTTCGGAAGCCAAACTCCATACTGGTACACGATTTGATACATTTTTTTTCCCAAGGGTCGACTGACGATTTGATGTGTGGTAACCATATAATTTTGTGCGGTTCGTAAGTGGTCACTCTAAAATCTTGATCCTCTCCGGTTTGCAAAGCTTCTTTCAGCACGTTAAAGCCCACCACTTGATTAGTTCGAAGATTTAGAATCAATCCTTTGTTTTTACACTCGGTAGTTTTTACACTCGGTATGCACTTCTCATCGTTTGTCCAGGTATTCGTAGTCGTAATATTTAGGACCGCCACTAAGAAAACTAAGAATCTTATCGTCGGAGTGCTCGTCCATCCAGGCTCTTAGACGGTCTCCTTCGATTTTTGAGAGACGGTTACCAAGGTGCTAAATGTAGATGCAACTTCTGTGTCAAAATACAGGACACGATCTTCTAATTGGTGTAAAGCTTCGTACAATTTTAAACGAGCATGGGCAGTCACGTACGCCGCAAAGATGACATTTCCAAATTAGTCAGCCTCTACAAACTCCAGTTTTTTGTAATTGATCAGGATAAAGCCTTCACAAAAGGCGTCCACGTGTTTCATGTATTTGGCTTTGTCGTGAATCATCTCAAGGTAGCGAGTAGGTTCTATCAAATGGAGTATTTGGGTAAACATCATCGTTATACCAGTTTTGCGCACAGTTAATTCAACATCAGTCAAACAAAAACTATCACAGTCCTTCTTTTTTTCCACCTGGTCCAGGTATTTCTCTTTGAAATTTTCTTGGTCTTTGGAAGTTTGACACCAGGAAGGATAGCCGCTGTGTTCTTGTTTCCGTTTAAAACATGCATTCAAATAGTCCACGAAAATTCCTTTGAGTTTCGTCATCTTTGTGGTACTATTCTGTCTTTGGAAATTGGTAAATTTCGTACTCTGAACAATTGATATCCTAGGTCCAGAGCTTTAAAACATTCTACGCTGACCCACATGCCCGTCGATGCACGTTCATGAATGTGATGACAAGGTTGGTCCTGGTTGCAATTTTCGGCACAAGTGCAACACAAAGGTAACACCAGTTTTCCTTAGCAATGATAAGGTAAAACGGGATGGTACAAACCGGTTAGAGGAAGACGTTGCATTTAATCGTATTGTCGAATGTTTTCCACGTCAATGTCTTCTGTCAGCAATCGTGGGTGCCCTGCGTGAAAGTGACATATTTGCACACGTAAAGATACAGTGAACATACTACGTCCATGTAATTGATTTATTCTCTTTTCTCCTCGCCGGTGTGGTACAGGAAACATGTGGCATTCGTTCGTTCTCAATACAAATTAGCCCGTGGGTCTACCAATCTGTAACTTTCAACGAACAGTTTAAGGTCGGGATCGGTTTTCAAATGGTAATCGTAC